ACTTCCTGCAACATTCATGGGAGTCTTACTTCCATATGCAAATAGTTTCTTTTTACACTGGCGCTAGTCACACTTCACTTTGGAGTTCTTCAGTCTTTCCCATTCCAGTCGACTGATCAGGTTACAGGTTGCTCCTGAATCTGTATCATTTCCGTCTGCACTCCTGTTGTCACAGAAATGCATGATTCTTTTTCGGCATTTACAATAAATACATAATGTTCATCATCAGAGTCCATTAAGTTCACCTTGTGCTTGTTTGGCGGATGTTTCTTAAAGTTCCCATGTTTTTCTGACTTTTGTTTAGTCTTGCAACATTTATTAAAGTGACATTTTTTACGACACATGTAACATTCCGCTTTTCTTGCTAGACAACTTTCTCTTTTCGAAATATGACCGGTTTCAACACATCTGTAACATCTTCTCTCTGACGTATGCTGACTCTGCTTTCGCTGTTACGTGTTTCTAGATTTAACTACATTATTCACACTTTATCACTACTCCCAAACTCGATAAATTTTGCCTGCTTCTCACTCGACTCAAAAGCTCTCGAAAGTGTCCTTAATTGTTCTAATGTCAAATCCTTCCCTTTTCAAGAAACTTCTTTCTGAGATGATGAGAAGTACATTTCTCTATTACTTGGTGCCTGATTTGTTCTCCCCCTTGTTGTCCAATTTTACAGAATTCTACTCATTGCCGTAGACGTGTAATAAATTGGTCGACAGTATCGTCTGTCTTCTGTACCATATTTCTAAATAAATGTCTCTCATAAGGTACGTTTTCCTGAGGAACAAAATAATTATTGAACTGTTTCTTAATAACCGAATACACAGTTTCATTTCCACTTTGTTCTCGAGTCTTAAACGTAAAATACACATCTTGTAGTTCTACGCCGCCACAGTGTAAAATTAAAGCTTTTCTCTGTTCATTATCTATCACCCCTTTACCGGTGCAATGAATTTCAAATGAACGAAGCCACTTTTGCCAACGTGTAATTATAGTTGTAGAATCACCGTGAACAACAAAACTTTTCACTGTCACTTACGTCACTCAAAAATGACACCATATTCGTTTACTTACAGTTCGTTTCAAATTTAATTTATTCTTGTCGCTAATTGTAATGTTGGTCTCTCAGCGGATAGCCATTATTTGCTGGCTGATATGAAACAACCACATGGTTCCAATGCACGGACTCAATTTATTACATTACTTCCGGTCAACATAAATATAATATAAAACCAAACATATACACATATTGATATTTCTGGAATACTAACATCGATAGATACTACATATGGGGTCCTTGAAAAAAAATTACCCCTCTAAATACCTACATAACGAATCTATCCTGTCGAAGATAATTTTTCATATATACAGCTCTTTTTTTAGGTAGTAAATCGTTCCGTAGCAACCCTTTACATTGTGACGTTGTTTAATAATTATATGACGTCAGATATTAGGCTTTTTGTGCGTTCAGCACAACGGACCTGTGCATTATATGGCACGTGGAGAGGGCACATTGGTAAAATTAATGTGTGGTGGGTAGGTACATGTAACATGGAGGGAACACATTAGCAATATGTTGGTAGGCAGCATAATCTTGTGTATAACTACGCCGCAAACGAGAACGTAAACACCGTCCTTACGTAACAAAATTGTAAAAATATTAAACAAGAGGCCCAGGGGCCACATCGCTCACCTGAGCAATTGGCTAGGAAATAGCACATATCAGATCAGAACTGTAAGTTTACTAGGGGGGGAGGGAGGAGGGGGCTTTAATTTTAACCTCCCAGGGGGTCATTATTTGAACAAACTAGAATCTACATTACCTGAGGATGATTCCCTATAAATATCACTAATGCCTTTGAAGTACTTGAAAAGAAGATTTTAATCCTATGTAAAACTTTTATCGGTCATTTGGCCCCACCCTACAAATTTGAATCTACGCTACCTGGGGATGATTCCAAAGGAGTTTCATCTTTCCTGGTCCAGTGGTTCTTAAGAAGAAAATTTTTCCTATATATTCCTATGTAAAACTTGTAAAACTTTGATTGGCCATTTTGGTCCCATCCTACCCCTGGGGGTCATGATTTGAACAAACTTGAATCTATACTACCTGAGGATGATTCCACATGAGTTTCATCTTTCCTGGCCCAGTGGTTCTTGAGAAGAAGACTTTTAAAGATTTGTCCTATATATTCCTGTGTAAAAATTTGATCGGCCATTTTGGCCCCACCCTACCCCCAAGGGTCATGATTTGAACAAATTTGAATCTACACTATCTGAGGATGATTCCATATGAGTTTTATCTTTCCTGGCCCGGTGGTTCTGGAGAAGAAGATTTTTTAAAGATTTTTCCTATATTTTCCTATGTAAAACTTGGGTTGGCCATTTTGGCCCCACCCTTGCCCCGGGGGTCATGATTTGAACAAATTTGAATCTACACTACCTGAGGATGCTTCCACATGAGTTTCATCTTTCCTGGCTCAGTGGTTCTGGAGAAGATTTTTAAAGATTTTTCCTATATATTCCTATGTAAAACTTGGGTCGGCCATTTTGGCCCCGCCCTAGCCCCGGGGGTCATGATTTGAACAAACTTGAATTTACACTACCTGAGGATGATTCCACATGAGTTTCATCTTTCCTGGCCCATCGGTTCTGGAGAAGATTTTTTTTTAAAAATGCCATTAATTTTTAACAAATTTATGATTATCTCCCCTTGGAAAAGGGTGTGGCCCTTCATTTGAACAAACTTGAATCCCCTTCACCCAAGAATACTTTGTGCCAAGTTTGGTTGAAATCGGCCCAGTGGTTCTTGAGAAGAAGATGAAAATGTGAAAAGTTTATGACAACAACGACAACGACGACAACGACAGACGACGGACAAATTTTGATCAGAAAAGCTCACTTTCGGCTCAGGTGAGCTATAAATATCACATATACTTCAAATTTTGGCATTTAACTTATTAAAATAAAAAGTCATTTCCAATCTAAATATTGTCGTATTTACTCTTTTTAAATGGCATTTTTTTTTATCACGGAAGAATTCTTCAAAAATGAATTGTCGCCCGCGTGGCGCAGTGGTTAGAGCGTCTGCTCTAGAGTCGCGAAGTAAGGAGTCAATCCTTACGTCGGGGGTTCGAATCCCACTGCGGGACGTGGAGACCGGTCCTTCGGATGAGACCGTATAAACCGAGGTCCCGTGTCGCAGTAGGTGCTGGCACGAAAAAGATCCCTCCCTGCTCAATGGCCCTGAGTGCCGAGTAAAGGACAAAATTTGCAGTTCCTCACCGGCAAATGGTGGCGTCTCCATATTATTGAAAAATTCTCGAGAGGGACGTTGAACAATATAGACAAATATATACAATCAATTCAAAAGAAATCAAATCAAAAATGAATTTGTACGCTATCGATAGACAAATTTTTGTACATGTATTCCGAGTTTTATCTTCCAAATTAAGTTATATGAACTGAAATTCATTTTATTAGTTTACACTGTGTGTAAACCATTTTAATGTACTCTTTCTCCAGTTGTATATTCTTACTTTTAATTAGATGGAAAATTAAAAGAATATATTTTAAGCCTTATGGTGACGTTTGACAGGCCGTTATTCTGGATATAATTATGCAAAAAAAAATAAGTATTTATTTCATACTAGTGTGAGATAGTGAAATTGCAAAGCCTCGTCCTAGACTGTGAATCTTGTCCCCTCTGTGAAATTTTACTATACCACAGTCGTAGTAATGAATGATTCTATCATTCTTCTCGGCCGATGGAATTTCACGGTTTTTATCAAAAGCAGGATAAGGAAATATGTGGAGACCTTGAAAAATGCATTTTGGACGATACGTAAGGTAATAAAAGCTTACGACGTTACCCTGCTGATGGTTTCTCTGAAAGATAAATTCTTGATATTTATATTCACGAGGAAAGAAAACCGTGTTGCAACCAATGCGTTGATGTTGCTGTCTGAGGCAATGTGATGTCAGTTATGAAGTTCCATTTAGGGTGAAGTTCAAACGAGCTTAAAAGAATTTTAATTTCCTTCCTTTGTTATATATCGAAATTGATAACTCACAATTAAAGGCAATTTAAGTAATATAGCTAATTTTTATCAAACTGATCAAAAACTTCAGCAAAATTGAAAATAACAAGTGATATCATGCTTCACTTTGGAAAAAAATACTACTAATGTCTTTCGTTCGTGGTCTTTTGAATTTCATGTTGCCCTAAATTAAGCCTTGTTTCTTTTATCCTATTTTCAACCAGGCGTGTAGCCAATAGATGATTGAAATGACACGCAACATGTATTGTTTGTTAAAAGATGTTCAACATATGCAAACTGCATTGTTAAACATGAAAGTGTCATTGAAAGTAGACTGCAGAATTATTAAGCAAATAATCTTGTTTTTCCAATATAGAATTAATTCGCCTTTTCAAGAAAAAAAATCTCGTACAGTATACTGTTTCTATGAAATCAGATAATAACAATGAAAACGATAGACAGAAGAAAATGTTTCAAAACATTGACGCATAACATACGATTTTGATCTTGACAGCAAAACTAACATGATATACACAGTGTATATGATTTTAACTGATATTAAAATAAGATATATGATATATATCTGGCTTTATCTGTAATAAAAATGATATATAAATGCTCTTCTCATTTCAAATTAAGTCTATGTATTATAAAATTGTACATGTAGGTTAGCCAATTTATATTCTATCAAAAAGGAGAGATTAGTAAACTTGTCATTCAAAATTAAATGAACTGCTTGCTGATTTTTTTAGGCAATCCGTTTATAATAATAAAACATCTTTCCTTCCAAACATTTAAAGGAATGCCTACTTCTATGGAATTTCATCATTCACGTTCTTTTCCTGTCAAAGTTTCAGAGTATACATTTTTGTTTATTCGTGAATTATTTTTGTACCTCAGTCGTATTAAAATTTATTCATAAATTTCCCCCTCCTCTCCCAAAAAAAAACGACTTCGTTTAGTACTAGTCTTTCTCCTTTCTTCTTCCTTCGGCGGCCATTTTATCTAGCTGTTCCTCCAAGTAGTCGTCTGCAAAATCTGCCGTCTGCTTCAACGCCTTCAGAATCAAGATGTCAATATTTGGATCCAGACTTGTTTCATTCTCGTAGTTTTTGATTGGCAGGATATGGCCACGTGGTAGTCCCATGACGTCAGCAACCTTGTTGACTGTGTCACGGACAGCTGGACTGTAAAACATATTGGACGTATCTTCATCAACCTTCCGACAGACTTTGTCCAGCTTGGTCAAATACACGACCTGGGGAATATCTGTTAATTAAACAAATAAACAAATTGATTGTAAATTGAATAGACTTTGCAAAGAACTCAACATTAAAACATCGTCCAAGACGATATAATTTTATTAACCAGAAATGTTTGTTGACGTCCCTGATTCGTTCAATATCTAGAATTAGAAAACATTCATTAATTAAAATTAATTTTAAATTCACTCACTTCTCTGATTCATCCTCCCCTGTAGTTCCTTCAGCTGTTTGAGAATTTTTTGGGGCATGACGTCAATCGTACTTCCGTCCACCACAAACGCCACACAGTGAATTTTGTCTCCAAGTCTTGGGTTCCGAATGAATCCAAAGGTTTCCGTAGTAAATGGTGACGATGGATTAAACTGAAAAAAAATTGACCTTAGGTTATCTTCCATGTTTCGTATATTTTTTACAATAATTTCTTGCATATGTTTCGTAAAGTGACAGGTTACAAACCATATACGCAATATTAAAAATATATATTTGAAGAGTTTATAGGTATTTGCCTGAATCGCAATACCTTATATTACCGTAACAGTTAGAAGAAAATTGAAATAAAATTTATTGTTTAAAAAAGAATGGGGAAAAAATATTTTTTTTAAGGGAAATTGATCGATAAAGTGCCTGACACTCTTTACATCAGGCAACAAAGATAACTGCTAGTCTCAATATTTTCTTCATATTTAAGTTATAAATGTCTTTTGGTGTCACGTCTATCGATTAAACAGTAGATTTGTAGAAATGAAGTATTCTACTTTTTGTAATTTTTCTTTTCCCGAGCAAAGATATTGGAAATGTAAATAATACTAAATATATATAACAGAATAATCAGAAGCATTACGTAGTACGTACCCTGCGTATTTAAAAAGACTTTTTATTGCAATCTTCTAGTTTAAGATATGTTTCATGAATACAAAAATAGGTATCCGAAGTGGCCAAAAAAAATTAATTTTAATTTTTTTTTTAAGCAAGTTTAACCTTTTTAAAGCCATTTGTTCAATAAGATCATACTATCTACCAATTCTTAATTTTTCTTCTCTGAAATTAGTTGTAGTATGTATTCAACTTTAAATAATGTTACCCCATACATTTATTTCTAAGATAATTGATAAAATGCTGAAAATTTAGAAGAAATGTATTATGTTCTAATAAAAACGTTTATCTTAGAATTTATGAAAAGGAGAAAACTCGATTTTCTTTTTCAACTTGGAAAAATAGAAAATTGAGTTATTTCCCTTTTAAATTTGTAACTTAAATTGATCAATGCGGCCGTTTTTGAAATGATGCGGCTGTGTCTAAGAAACTATTGATTAATTTTTTTGGACTAAAGTAAGATTTTTTATCATACCTGGCCCCAGGATCATGAAGCATCTTAAGCTTAAGTCAAAAAATGCCTTAGATGCTGAAATTTTTTAGAGGTCATGCAGTCCAAAATGAAAATACTTTCCGATTTTGTATCACCAGCCTGCTGTTGCATGCTAATTATGAGTTTCCTTTAACAAGTTTTAAAGATTTTATAGATAACTGAAATTTTGACTTAAGTCTAAGTCTGTTTCATGATCCCGGGGCCTGGTACTTATCCAGTACTTTACCGTCCTGTATGTAAGCGATCTCCTGAGCGTCTATTGGTATCTTTTTATATATTTATATCATACCTGGTACCTGTCCGGTACGTTACCGTCCAGTATATAAGCTATCTCCTGGGCGTCTATTGGTATCTTTTTATATTTGTATCATACCTGGTACCTGTCCGGTACGTTACCGTCCAGTATATAAGCTATCTCCTGAGCGTCTATTGGTATCTTTTTATATTTGTATCATACCTGGTACCTGTCCTGTACATTACTGTCCAGTATATAAGCTATCTCCTGAGCGTCTATTGGTATCTTTTTATATTTGTATCATACCTGGTGCCTGTCCGGCACGTTACCGTCCAGTATATAAGCTATCTCCTGAGCGTCTATTGGTATCTTTTTATATTTGTATCATACCTGGTACCTGTCCTGTACATTACTGTCCAGTATATAAGCTATCTCCTGAGCGTCTATTGGTATCTTTTTATATTTGTATCATACCTGGTACCTGTCCGGCATGTTACCGTCCAGTATATAAGCTATCTCCTGAGCGTCTATTGGTATCTTTTTATATTTGTATCATACCTGGTGCCTGTCCGGTACGTTACCGTCCAGTATATAAGCTATATTTGTATCATACCTGGTACCTGTCCGGTACGTTACCGTCCAGTATATAAGCTATATTTATATCATACCTGGTACCTGTCCGGTACGTTACCGTCCAGTATATAAGCTATATTTGTATCATACCTGGTACCTGTCCGGTACGTTACCGTCCAGTATATAAGCTATATTTGTATCATACCTGGTACCTGTCCGGTACGTTACCGTCCAGTATATAAGCTATATTTATATCATACCTGGTACCTGTCCGGTACGTTGCCGTCCAGTATATAAGCTATCTCCTGGGCGTCTATTGTAAAATCCTCCTCCAGACCCCGAGTATCACACAGGCGGATCTTCAGGTTATGTCCAGAGTTCTGGTCCTTGATGGTGTACTTCCGAAACTAAGAAAAATGTGTACAATACAATGTTCTTAGTTTTTAAATTCAGAGGATACATTATATACCACCAATGTTTTAAAGTTCCACTGAAAATAATATCAAAATATTCTATTAAATTTGCAAGTATTTAAACATTTCAAACATCAAAATATTTTATTCAATTTGCAAGTATTTAAACATTTCAAACACTGGTATGACTTCACATATAATGATCTTACATGTAACTTATATAGAGTAATAGGGAGAGGGCTAAACTAGGCTTTGCCTGCTTATGCCTCACTTATGTGAATTAAATTTTGTATAAATGAAAATAGAGTAATATAATTATACGTCTGAATTAAGCGCCAACCTATAATCATGCAATATTACTACACTGACATAAAAGATTTAAATTTGGACCTTTCAAAGTTATCAAATACGATTTTGCTTCTTACCACTGTTGTAAGACTATGTTCAAAACTCCCACTGCGAGCCTTACTAGTTATTTTCCCGCGGAAAATGGAATTGACAGAGTTGAAAAAGCTGGATTTTCCCGCGCCAATCTGACCAATCAGAAGAATGTTGACGGCAGACAATTCAGCGTCACTCTCAGGTTCAAAATCAACAATCAATTCCTTAACTTGTTGAACTGCCTGAAATTTGCAAAATTCACATATCATCACAATACAGTGTACATAAATTACAACAAAGGCAGTAGAGGTCATTATATACAACAACTGCGAAAATGTTTATATTGTCAAAATTAACTTCATCAAAATTTTTAAAATGATAATCATTAAAGGAATATGTACATGTTACTTTTTGTACTTGTATTACATTATACATTACTCCAGCATGCTATAGGTTCACGGCGAGATCCTTTCGACTTGGCGCAGCGTAACCTCTAGCATGCATTGTAAAAATTCTCGCCACTGAAACCCAAGTGGAAATAAACTATTTAATTAAAAAATAAGGCTTTTTATATTAACGAATGACACGAAACAATAAAATATTCACTATCTACGATAAAATTTAAGCATAAAAGACTGTTATTTTCACGTTTTAACAATAAGTCCATTATTATTTTTAAAATCGAAGCAGAAATATTGAAACAAGTCGTCTGTTTAAAATTTGGGAATGAAGTGCAGAAAATCTGACGAAACGAAACAAGTTTACCGCAACGAAAAATTCGTATTCTGGCTAGCAATCTGCAATAATGCACACTGAATAAAATGGATTTTATTATTTCTTGTGACTTTTATACCCCATGCAAACACTTAGATACCTAAAAATTACTTGTTAACAGTTTATTTCACGCATAATATGTTCCGCCCAAAATCTCAGGTGGAACGAGCTCGATAGCAAATGGCCTCGGAAGTAGGGTCCGAGGTATATACCGGTATATGGAGCGTAGCCTGGACGTTAACCGACGCTCTTACTTGTAGGAGTACATTATACACTGAAAATGTAACCTATATACATTAGATTATCATATATCACTCTTATCTATATAAAATTCATTTGATAAACTCTGTTTGTTCGATTATTTGTTTGTTTGTTGTTGGACGTCCCTCTCTAGATCGAGTTTCAACACATGCGAAGATGCCACCATTTGCGGCGGAGAACTGCATTTATACCTACATGTACTTGTATACTCGTCTCTCAGAACACTGAGCCATCTTTAAGGGTTTTTCATCTTTTTCCTTATCCTTGCCAATATTGAGCTTAAATTTGGTGTACAAGTCTTCGTTGAGTCATAAGTAAAGCTTGTATTTTGTTCGTTTTCAGTGAAATTTGCCACATTGTGGCATTTTCACATTTTAATGGGAATACGGTCATTTCACTTACCGGAAGGCTACTTTCATTTCTTAAAATGCTTATTTACACATTTTAACGCAATCATTTTTCAAAAATATCAAAGTTGACTTAGTGTTAGAAATGAGCAAATCTGTTCTTTTTTTATTCTTTATCCCTTGAAAAACGAAATTTCCATATTATATTAACGTCAATACCTCATCATTAAATTCCGGAAACTTTCTCCATGGGTTGTCAAGAACAGAATCCACTGTCTTTCCTGAAGATTTGTTTGGGTCAGGGCCATCTTAAATGAAAATTTTGACAATTTGCATAAAATATCAATTAAATTTGTTATATGCAATATGCTATGTAATTATAATAGTTTGTACATTTAATAATGTAAAGATATCATTTAATTTATAACGAAACGATACCTTTCACTTGGTATACTTCGAGATCAGTCACTTGAAGATTACCATTTGCAATGGAGTTAGAGCTTTGTCCATTTAAAGTGTACGAGTTCCCCATATTGAAAGAGCCATTCAACTGAAAGTAATTTCCAGACTTGTTGATGTTTCCACCAAATGAATAAATGTCGTGCCCACCAAAAGTTGGGCCGTAATTGTTATGTCCATACCCTGCCGTAGCTGTGTTGGAAATAGGACACTTCAGTGGATTGGATGACCCATTATACTGCAGTCGAAACAGAAACGCATTAGGATCATTGATGTATGCGCCATTAGAATGCCAGCTCTGTGCCAGGTATCCCCCGTATATCGTGTTGTTTGTGTTGTAAAAAACCGTCACTGTTGCCCCCTGACCATTGCACTGTTGGTGAAATGTTGCTGCTGAACATCCGTCTCTGCTGATCTTGTACAGTAACCGGAAGTGACACTTCTTTCCTATCCAGGTGGACAACTGATCTTTGTATTTCTGATCCAAAAGTTCTGTCATTTTTCTAAGGTTTGAAGCGGAAAGAGGTAAAACATGTAGTTGTCTAAAATCAACACATTAAATATTTCTCGATATTTCAGCAACTTTGCCAACAGGTGATGAGAAAAAGACGAATCGGGAGGTCTGACAACTTATTATATCGGCCGCAGCAGCAACCAATCTAATTTTGTTTGTGTTAGAAAGTGCATACGGGAAAATGAGATGTTCTTGTTTTCATTAGGCGTAGTTAAGTTCAGTAAAATAATTCTTAAGGTAGGACACAATAGATAGGGCAAATCTTTCTTCAAATTTAATTTTTCTGAGGATACAAAATCTCTCTTCATATATATAGTATAAAAGAAATTCAACCACACATGTAAAAAGATTGAGAAATCAGACATTCGACTTGAGAATGGGCCTTATTTTAGAATTATCAATTGGTCTATTGCAAATTTGTTTAATACTTTTAATAGGGATAACTTTTTTGTTGCTTTAATTCAGTAAGTCATATTGGTACTGGAAAATTTGAGTAACATATTAAGTAAAAATAGAAAATACGTAGTGTTGATTGCAAATTCACATGTTAATACTCGACAGTTTAAGTTTTCTGAAGAGAAAATGTATAATTCAATTTTTACAAAAAATCAACAGTATAATTCAAATGGGTCCTAGAATAAAATGTGTTAAAAAAAAGAAAATTGAACCAGTGGTTTCAGATATTTTGGCGATTAAAAATATCCCAATGGTAAAATAACTTAAAGCTTCAGTAGATGACGTTACAATATTTGGCCTTTGACCTCTTGCTATGACCTTAACCTTTATAGTATATAAAGAATGGAGACTCCTTTTATATGTGTTTTTAAAAAATAACAGTCCTCTACTATTTATGGAACAAAAGGTACACTGCATTTCATAACAAACTGTTACATTCTCGTTTATTGCACTTAGATAACGTAAACTCATTCCAAAATGTAAGTTCCCAAATGACCGATATATACGATTTTTGTATTTTGTCCACAAAATATGACGCTAACCTGTTAAGACTTACTATTTTTCTTACATGGATCATTCATTGTTGTCAATATATTAATATCAATCTTTTTTCTCCAGTACTTTTTAAGAAATGTGTTAAAATAGAATCCACGGGTGTTTTGACCTACCTTAAATGATAACATGTATAAAATCAGGAATAAAATATTTTAAAGCTTGCTTTAAACTAAGTATTATAATTGTTGTTATGCATTATGTTTCAATTTCATTTTAATTTCTCATCAGTATTACTGTAAATTGATAATGCATCTATAATTAAAAGCGTTTACAATAGGTACTCCCCAGCCTAGGTGTGTGTACAAATGGAAATCGTCTTCATTTTGCAGATAATAATTATGACGTGGTAAAAGTGCATGGTGAATAAAAAATGAAAAATTGTTCAGCTAGTAAAAATTGTTTTGAATATCTACAGCTGCTGCGAATGACACAAAACAACATTTTTTTCTACATTTTGCACCTCGCCTTGCAACATAGCCATTCTGCGGAAACCATGAGCAATGTCACGTGACAAAGACCCAGGGTATCAGCACATGGTTCCATTTGAGCAGGGACCTACATCTTCATTTTGATGACAATAAATTTTCACTCATATGGAGATGCCACCACTTGCCGGTGGAGAGCTGCAAATTTTTTCCTATGCTCTGCACTTATGGCCATTGAGTAAAGAGGGATTTTTTTACGTGCAAGCACCCACTGCGACACGGGACTTCGGTTTATAAATACGGTCTCGTCTGAAGGACCGCACTCCACGTCTCACAGTTATGTGAACACGCGACGTAAGGATATTGAATCCTTACTTCGCTATAACCACTGTACGCGGGCGACTATTACATCAATGAATCTATTTGATGAGCAAATGCATTCAAATTTCTACTTAACTTTTTAAAGATAACTTATTTAATTTGAAAACAGACTGATTCAACTAAAAATGACCACTATGTTAATTTTGAATATCTTTTGCTTTCCTAAATTGCATGAATGCTTTTAAAATTGTGAAAGTACTTTTTGAAATGCAAAGTCTTGTTTGCGGTTATAGTGTTTCTCTATACAGCTATAGTAACTATATCACCCTCGCGATGGCAGAACAGAGAACACACTATGGTAAAATAATACAATGTTTATAAATGCCCGCAATATATTCTATATGTGACAATAACGGAACTGACAAAGACACGGCCGTACTCTGCAGCATGTATAACAGAAAAGAGAGAGAGGATACGTACGTGTACGTCACAACAGGTGCTGTGACGTTTACCATGTGATCGGAGGTAGCAGGACAATCCGTGCCCAGTACCTACCGAACCACCATACGGTCGATTTGATGCTTTGAATCAATTTAACTTGTTATTTTTCGTTCCCGGTCTGCTAGCTTTACTTCTCAGTCATATTGGGACACCATCGACGACCGATAGATATCTGTGGTGGTCTCAGAACTTCATATAAAAATGACCTTTTACATGCCAGCACCCTTAAGCTTCCTCTGTTCATTTCGTATCATGCGAGTGACTGATCGAGACTATATACTAATTCTCTGAATGTTTCAAAAAGTACAAAATGAGCGTAAGCTTACCTTATTTCTGATCCACGTGTTCAGATTTGTCGGCTTTGCAGCTTCACTTCAGAAAAAAAAATCGATCTGTTTTTAGATGATGTAAACCTACTGGCAGTACTGCACTTCCTCTTTCCTTTGTGATTAATAAAAATAAACTTTGCTAAAGCACAATTCACAGAAACTTAGAAAACGAAACAAATTTTCACAAAACGCACGTGGTTTTTAACGTTTAACATTATATTCTATTTTCTTTTTCGTTTCCGTGAATTGCATTATTGCATTATCGGTAGCAGGTGCAGCTGATGTAGATTTGAGGTTGTCTTAGAATGTTGAAGAAAAAAAATTATACATGTACAGATCTCTACATTGTTTTGATGGATGTTTTTATGTATAAAAGATTTTTTTTTAATTCCTTAATGTTAAATATATGTCTTAATGATTGTAATTTTGTTTTATGTTTTTTTTTTTCCTTTTAAATCAGATATTTAGTAATTGATAATCGACCGCAGCATATAATATTGTAAACAAACAAAAAAATACCGGTATCAATAAAAGTATTACAATTCGCTCAATATTTACTCGTAATGTTGGTATAAGGTTTCAATTTATCAATTTCCCCTACAGGTTTTTCTAGTAGCAATGGCAATACCGTTCATTTAAATGATAAAATTATATAAAAAAAAAAAAAAAAAAAAAACCGATGCATTAAATTTATGTACCTAAGTGCAGTCTATATATTCGTGACCAAGTTATCTTGCAATCAAACATTGCTGAACTGATTTACTTTGTTCATTACCAGATTCCCCCTTTGTAAAACCTATTGTGGCCCCACCCTACCTGCGGGTTTATGATTTGAACAATGTTTAGATTCTACACTACCCAAGGATGCCTCCATATAAGTTTCAGCTTTTCTGGCCCAGTGATCATTGAAAAGGAGATTTTTAAAGACTTTTCCTTTATATTTCAATGTAAAACTTTGATGAAATCCTTATTTGGTCCTGTCCTACTCCCAGGGGTCATGGTTTGAGCAATTTAGAATCTACACTACCCAAGGATGCTTCCATATAAGATTCTGTTTTTCTGGTCCATTTGTTCTTTAGATTTTTAAAAAAAAATTCATGTATATTTCAATGTTACTCTTGGATTCCCTATTGGGATCCTTCTCTACTCCTAGGTTTCCAGATTTGAACAATTTAGAATCTACACTACCCAAGGGTGCTTCCAAATTAATTTCAACTTCTCTGGTCCTGTGGTCCTTGAGAATAAGATTTTTAAAGAATTTTCCTAATTATATATTTTAATGTAAAAGTTGAATTCCCTTTCGTGGCTCCACCTTACCCCAGGGGACATGATTTGAACAATTTTTAATATACATTACCCGGGGTTAATTTGCTTCTAAATAATTTTCAGCTTTTCTGGCAAAGTGGTTCTTGAGAAGATGTTTAAAGCCGCTTAACCCGAAACAGGCACATATTATCTTACACAATAAAAGTTCTTCATTACATGGATAATGTATAAAAAGAAATTATAAGATTGATTTAACAGTTTATTACAACAATCCTTACATGGAAAACGCAGGTCAAAAACCTTATTGACAAACGTAGTTTATCGGATATACAGCGCCGTAGCAAAAGTATTCGCGATTTTTAAAAATGGCGGCGGCTCACTTTCGCGTCTTGATCAAGTAGGAAAAGAGAGATAACTCTATGGAAAATAAGAGTTATCTGTTTATTTTTTTTACGGAGTTATCTTTATGTAGGAAATGACGTAATTTTATATATAAATTATCGTCTGCACTTCCGTAGTGAATGTAAACAAGCAGAATTTAACCATGGGTCGAAAATCCTCTGAGCTGAGTGCTGAAACTAAAAATCTAATCGTAACTTTGAAAAGTGAGAATCACAAAACTTCAGAAATAGTTCGTGTGTTGAATATTAGTGAATCTACTGTGAGATCTATTTGGAATAAGTTTATTCAACGGGGAACAGTGAAAAACTTACCTCGAACGGGAAGACCTCGAAAGTTGTCAATCAGAGATGAAAACTGGATAATGCGGACGGTCAAAGGCAACAGGTACAGGACCCTAAATAATGTTACGTTGGATTTAAATGAAGGAAAATGTCCTACAGAAACTGTAAGTAAATGTACGGTCCAGAGATTTCTTAGAAAAAAAGGATATCAAAGAAAAGTTGTGAGAAAACGAATGGTTGTTCGTGAAGTTAATCGGAAAAAGCGATTATCTTGGTGTTTGGGTAAACGACGACTGACAGTGGAACAATATTGGCAAAATGTCATATTTTCTGACGAAAGTCAAGTTGTAATTGGAGATAATCACCGGGTTTATGTCTGGAGAAGAGCAAATGAGGCGTACCTACCCCAATGCATGTGCCCTCCCCGTAAATGTCGAGTTGCAGTTATGGTATGGGGATGTATTACTTACGATGGGGTAGGGACTTTGTGTCTTGTTAATGGCAACATAACTGCTCAAAAGTATATAGATATACTCGACGAACATTTGTGGCCAGTTATAGCGAGGCATTTTCCCAATAAAACTTACCTATTTCAAGATGACAATGCACCCGTGCACAGAGCCAGGATTACGTGTGAATATAAGACAAACAACAGCATTCCTTCCATCACATGGCCGGCACAGTCCCCGGACATTAATATAATTGAAAATATTTGGTTGAAAATAAAACGTTCACTTCAAAACACGGCCAGAGACATCAAAACCCAAGACGAACTTTTTAATGCAATACTTGATATCTGGCAAAACATCGCCCTTGAGTATGTAAGAAACCTATACCTATCGATTCCCCGTCGGATCCAGGCAGTAATAAGATCCAAAGGTCAACTCACAAAATATTGAAAACAGTAAGTCAGTTTTTCATACTTTTAAAATAGTTTTATTTTGTTATGCGCGTCCTTGTTTACGGCCGCCATTTTGAAAAATCGCGAATACTTTTGCTATGGCGCTGTATCTAATAATGAAGATAATTCAAACACGAATATTTTTTTCTCTCTATATAAGAAGCCTTAGGTATAATGCATCTTTTCAAAATTAAGAAATTAATTGAATTTAATCCATAGTAATTTTTATATTAATATGCATATTTAAAGAATAAAGGAAGATCAGATATTTTTAATGATTTTTTTAAAGGAGCTAAAATAGTGTCCGTGTACAGGTTATTTGTGAAAAAAATGCTCGTGTTCGTTCTTCATGATATAAACATGTAAGCGATAAATTTAATTTTTCGAAGGAGATTTCACGCGATATCAACAATGATCAACATAGGATTATTTTTTTAAATTTTGAATTTTGATATCTTTTAAAAGAAAAGGACTTTGGGGATATAATTTGCCAACAGTTGAAAAAAATTTTGGACAATTATTTTTCAAGAAGAAAATCGAATTTATATTTTTAGCGATTAGAATCGGACCAAGCGGCTTTAAAGAATTTTCCTATCTATTTCAATGTAAAACTTGGATTCTATATTGTGGCCTCGTCCTATCCCAGGGGCCCTGATTTGAACAATTATATATTGGCTGAAATTCCCCAAGTAGTTCTTAAGAAGATGACAATGTGAAAAGTTTACGACAACAACAACCCCAACGACGACGACAGACAACAGACAAATTTGTTCAGAAAAGCTCACTTGACAATATAAATTCAGCTTTTCTGACGCAGTGGTTTTTTTTTTCTTGGAGGAAAACCTTTTACTGCTTAATAAACGTTTGTGGCTGTTTTGATTCCTTGCATCAATTTGACTTGTATTTGATGTAAGCATTGTGTCTTTTGTCCAACTTTCAACCAGACAATTTTCTTAAAGCATAAAAATGAGACGCCTTGTAACAATAAAATTTATTTCTAATTATAAAAAGACTTTATTTATCAGTTTGCAATCTTCACAGTACATAGAGTAATGAGAAAAATGGCGCGTTTAAGATTTACACATCAAAATACCAAAGAGAGCCCCTCTCAAACAGTAAAAAGAAATACCAGGTACCCCGTAATCATACCAGCGGAGGGAATACCGGTATACTTGTTTACAATAAAGACAAAGATGCAGATGGTTACTAAACATCGAACTAAAAAATTCAACTTCGTTCTGAAAAGCTTCTGTAACTTTTTTAAACTTGTTAATGAATTATTTTAGGAACAGATCTATATAACACAGAAAAAAGTATTATTATAGCACCTATTTATTTGCGTTTCTTAAATGTATATTATCACGTGATTGCGTGCAATCACAATCATCCTGCGTAACATACACATGTATAACTAGTATCCAAAAAATATTTAACATGAGTATTTAAACGGCTGTCTAGAACTATCAACTTTCTTATCACTGAACTGATCGCAGATGTCCTGATCCTCAAAAACTATATATTTACTCAGTCTTGACAACTTTCCTATACAAACATTCTTTAACTTATATACTGTACAACAGGAATTTAGCACCACCTTCCTTTCCGTATTGCATCTATCCTCTCCATGCTCTCGTGTAATATTTGTACATGTTGGTTGTCTTAGAATTCATTTAATTGCGCTTATTTACCAAAAATCACTTTTTTAGTCTTTCTCCTCTCTTCTTCCTTCGGCGGCCATTTTATCCACTTGTTCCTCCAAGTAGTCGTCAGCGAAATCTGCCGTCTGCTTCAAAGCCTTCAGAATCAAAATGTCAATGTTGGGTTCCAAACTAGTTTCACTCTCGTAGTTTTTGATTGGCATGATGTAGCCACGTGGTAGTCCCATGACGTCAGCAACCTTGTCGACTGTGTCACGAACGGCTGGACTGTGAAACAATTTAGACGCGTCCTTATTCACGCTTGCGCAGACTTTGTCCAGCTTCGTCAAATACACGACTTGGGGAATATCTGATCAAAGAAACAATAATGCAAGTTTAAAAGAATATAATTAAATTTGGGAGAAACCTGACAAAAGAGTAATGTTGTACTAGAAATTGGCGTACACCTCTCTTAATTGTATACAAATGGCATAAACTGTATTACTATAACTGCGTTTCAACAAATGAATTGTGGGGGAAAATTTGATAAGCTGAATACTTCTTGTTTATTTCTGTTACAGAAACTTTGTTTAATAATTCGCCTACTTCTCTGATTCATCCTCCCCTGTAGTTCCTTAAGCTGTTTGAGAATTTTTTCAGGCATGACGTCAATAGTACTTCCGTCCACCACAAACGCCACACAGTGAATTTTGTCTCCAAGTCTTGGGTTCCGTATGAAGCCAAATGTCTCCGTTGTAAATGGTGCCGACGGATTAAACTGAAGACAAAACAATATATAACATTTTTGAATAAGTTTTCTTATTATATCACAAATGTAATAAGTTTCGCTATAAACCCTGAAAAATGCCGAGTCACGCCAGAAACAGTTTAGTTATGTAGACACTTAGAGGGGTAATACGGAAATATGTGGGGTCCTTGAAAAAAAATCCATATTGGGCGAGGCGTAAGCCGAGCCCAATATGCATTTTTTCAAGGACCCCACATATTTCCGTATTACCCCTCTAAGTGTCTACATAACGAATTTATCCTGCCGATGGTTCACTAAAAGATTTAATATTGATAGTATCAATAAACCGCTTTCACTGAACGTCCAAGCAAGACGTTCTACATCCATTGTACGTTGTCGACAGACGCATTGTGACGTCAGTTATGAAGCTCCATGCGGGTCACGTGAAAGCAGTATATTGATGATGTGTGGTTGGTAAAATTTTGATATATGGTGGGTAGGTCACGTGGAGGGGGCACATTAGCAAGCCTCGCCCTCAGGGATTTATCTAGCTGCAATAATGTAGCCCTCTCCGATTTTTTTTAATCTGATGTTTTCTGGAGAGGGCTACAATTCCATCGCATCTCCGTAATGGTGCAAATATTTTTTTTTAATAGGAGCGACTGCAGGCAAAATAAATTATTTTTACATTCAACTTACTTCTAATAAGACGAATTTTTTATTCACTGTCAACAGTAGACCCCGTTAAATGCGAAAAACTTGTAAAATAACTCTGCATGTTTCCTGGTAGTTTACTTCAGCAGCCATGACAGTTCACGCGTGACGTAATGAGAGTTTCGCTTGAAATTTAGAACAACTGAATAAAGCAATTATCGGTGTTTATAAATGTATGTGCTGAATTTCATCACAAAAACATAGGTATATAAAACCATTTTAAGTGTTATTTTTATGCAAGCAGCGATATTTATGTTTAAAATAAGGGAATTCCAAAAAGATCCGCTCCTATAGAACCTAAATTCTCATTGGCTGTCCCAAAATACAATCTATCAAGGTCAGTAAACATGGCGGATAAATTCGAGTTGTGATGTTGACATACACGAAAAATAAGCGATATAGGGACCGTTCTGTATATTTTTGCATTGGTTTACGTCTTGGATGACTACTTATTTGGAGTCAAGGTAAGAAATGTTAATAAAATAGCCATTTACTGTTAATTTGAGCCGAAATCCGTGCGGGAGCAAATCACTCCCGCAGCTGCGCCATTAGAAAGATCCTAAGGAGTTGTAGCCCTCTCCCAAAAAAAAAAAAAAAAAAAAAAAAAAAAAAGGGAGAGGGCTACATTATTGCAGCTAGGATTTATCTAGCTATTTTGTTTTACTACCGTTTTATAAGTAAAGGGGAAAAATGAGAGCCGCAGGCTCGATCTGAGCGCCGGAGGCGCGAGTATTCTAGGGGGGTCCGGGGGCATGCCCCCCCGGAAAATTTTTAAATAAATGGAGCAAAATCCTGCATTCTTAGAGCTTCTGAGGGTCATTTGTAGACCTTTACAAAGGCCACAAAAACTTCACTTTTGAGACAAAATATTAAATAACAAAAAAAATTTTTAAACCAAGTCAGTACTTTAATTTTTTCTCTCAATATCTATCACAAATCAATTCTGTCTTTCATGTTTCACTACTAACATTGTTTTTGTTGTTACTCCATTCTTCCGATTCATAGTGATTTAAGCTCCATCTTACTCATCTACACTTTTCTTAACTCTGCAATCGCATACGTATATTTTGACATCATGGACATGGCACATGTTTACCGATCAATATCAACTAGAAGCTTGAATAATCTACTCTCGCTTTTAAAAGCGTTTGAATGACTAGGATTGTGAAATAGGATATGCTGTTAAACTTCAATCGGACAAAAACGGAAAATTTCAGTACGACGTTTTAAATATTCTCCGTTTAATTGGAGACTTTTCTATCTGAAAAAGGGGAATTTTTCACCTTTTTCAAGAGGGGAAAGGTACCGTTTACCGGTAGTAAAAACAGCCTTGATAAATCCCTGGCCCTCTATCACGTTTTCTTACCCTCGCCCAAATATAGCTTATATTTCAAGACAGTAACCATGTATTTTATATTTCATGCGGTATTGCTCTCGGCCAATGAAATTTCACGATTTTTATCAGAGGCAGGATAAAAATGTCACCTCCGACGGAAACAGTTATGTCATCCTTTCGATCACGTTCACGTGTTTTTACGTTACGCATTTTAGTTCGGTGTTCGAGATTTTATGACGTCGGTTGCTAAATAAAAGTAAACAACACAGCCTATTTCTTAACGTCAAGGAGGCATTTTTTGGATTATATGTGTACATTTTAACTGCGTATTTTGAATGATTTTAAATTTTCTTTTAATTTTAAAAAATGTCATATAACATATACCACATGGCTTCTCGGGCGACTATACCAGAATATTTGCCCCGAGGTGACAGGAAAGCCCTGGAGTGTTATGTCACCCTCCGCCTTCGGCATCAGGGGCCCGTTTCATCAAAGGTCGTACGCCAAGTCGTAGCGCTACGCCGGCGTAAAGTTTGGACTAGCACGAAGATTTGCGTTTCATTAAAGAGTGTATCGTTACGCCTGACTAAATTTAGGCCAAACTTTTACGTCTACTCAAGGGTAGGCGTAAGTTCGGGCGTAAAGTTAAAATAAGCAATTATACTGATTTTAAAACAATTTAACGAGTTCTAAAGAAAAAGTACGGTTCTAAAAAGTCTTTAAAATACAAAGATTGCATTATTTAATTATACAAACTATGAAGTGGGGGGGGGGGGGGGGCTGTTACAACCTTTTGGGTTGATTGAAGTTACCTAATAACGTAATTCATATCTTAATAGAATTCTTCTCTGAAGAAAAGATTTTTTTATTGGAGATTTCAATCACCATTTCTAACGTTTTTGACAAAGCATTCACACACACACATTTGATTGTTGTATTATATGTATAAGATATTGTAAATCGAGTATAGTGACTACACTTATAACTATATTTATATCCCCGCTTTATGCCCGTCTGTTGCGCTTTTGGGTGCCCATCTCTTATCCACAACTCCTCTCTTATCCATTGGCAGATCCAGAGGGGGGGTTCCGGGGGTTGGAACCCCCCCTTTATTTTTTGCCATGTAGGGAGAGAGAGAGAGAGAAAAAGAAAGAGATAGAGAGAGTTGATAAAACGTTTTCCGAGAATAAATATATGTACTGTACGTCTAACTTATGTATTGAATAGATAGATTCTCACACATTTAGTTTCCTCCATTCACCTTCAATATTACTTTTTACGAGAGAATGGTAGAAAATATTCTTATTTTTATATGTCTTATAAATGATATGTAACATGCGAGGTTAAATTTGATATAAGATTCCCGAGATCTGTGGTTGTATTGGCTATATATGTACCGTTTTTTGGTCATATATATTTTGAAGGAACTAACTTTTAACACTTTGTTTAAACCCCATTTCAAAAAATTTTTTTTTCAAATTCTAAAAGAAAATTCTTTGTACTCTTCGGAAAAGCTGCAAATTAATTTAATTGAATGCTTCAGAAGTTTATGAAATGTGTTTTTCTTTATTCGCACTGGGGGTACAGTACCTTTTCAAAAAAAAAAAGACGTAAAAGATATTATTTAACACAACCTTAGATCTTTTGTTTAAGTCTTCGGTTGAGAGAGGGTATGTGGGGGGGGGGGGCGGGGGTAGAGGGGCACAAACCTGGAACCCCCCTTTCAAAAATGGCTGGATCCGCCCCTGTTATCACTGAATGAAATTTCTCAGAATCTCTATTAAATATTGCCATTGTGAATTAACTTACTTTTTAACTCTTATTTTGGGTTTTACATATCAAGACATGGACACTGTCATTATATTCCTATAAACGAGGCGGGAGATTCATTGAAATTGTCTATTTTGATTTTAAAAATCTTTTCCCCAAAATATTTTTTTTTTTGGGGGGGGGGCCATCGGTTTCAAAAGCACAATCATCCTCTTTCTGGTAATTTTCTACATTTAAATTACAGAAAAAATAATAGATCATAAATATACAACTGTAGGATTTTTTTAAAAATCATATTCAAAGAGTCTTTCTTAATTACTCCTCGTCCACATGTGTGGATCACGAGGGGATCGGAGAGAGGGTTCATGGCCTCTCGAATTTGCAGAATATTCAAATACAGAAATGGAGGCAAAGGTAATTATTTTTCTAGGTATCTGGGCGAGTGAAGTCCCCAGTGAATCTAAAACGCAACCCTGAGGGAGTCTCATGGAGAATAAGAGATTTTTAAATGGGGAAATTATTACTATTATATACTTTATTATATCGATCTAATAGGGTGATGATTACACAGTTAAGTTCAAGAAATGAATTATTCCTTAAAATATTTTTTCCAGACAAATATTGATGCAGAAGACATATATCTTTATTTTTTCATGATTTTGTCCGAAAGAGTGAATTTTACATCCTATGAGATAATCTGAGCGCATATAAAGCACATTATGGGATAACAATTTTTTTAATTTCCTGCATAACTAACATTTTAATGAAAAACAAAATAAAGACTAACTGTAGATTATTTTTAAAGACAGGGATCATACAAGCAGGGAATTTATGTAAGAATACCTTACAGGCACGTAGCATCGTTTTTAGAAGTGGGGGGGGGGGGCCAACCTGAGCAAATTTTTTTTTACTTACCTGAAAAAGTTGACAAGCAAAAAAAAAATTAAGTTGCCCGAAGTCGAAATTCCTATTTCGTGGGGGGGGGGGGGAGGGGGGAGGCTAACTTTTTTCAAGACCAACCATTTTTCAATTGAAACTTTTGGGATACATTTTCTTTATAACACTACTCTTTGCTGAAATGGGGGGGGGGGGGGCAACCTTCCCTTCAGTAAACATTTTCTATAGTAAAGGTAATGTAGGGAGAAAAAGTGGGGGGGGGGGGGGCTGAGCCCCCCTGGGCCCCACTGATGCTACGCCCCTGCCTTAGTAGTAATTTTTTGGAATCTTTTTCTCTCTCTCTTCTCTCTCTCTCCTCTCTCTCTCTCTCTTTCTCCCTCTGCGTACTTGAAAAACGGTATATCAATTTTAAGCTTTAGATAGTAAGGAATTGTTGTCTATAATTCTATGAACCAGCAGTCTAGTACTAGTATTCGAAATTTTTCATGAAACTTTGTGCCATTTTGATGAACAATGATATTATAATGAATCATTTGAATTGACAAAAGACTTAGAAAGGATTGTCTTACGTGTACCTTAGTAGTAGATGTGTAAGATTTATTTCTTGACTCAATTTGGGTACATATGTAAACTTTTTATACATTATTTTTGCTTGCAAGTATACATTTCTTATAAAAATATATAATTTAAAAAAAATTCTTATACTGTCTCAAACTTAATCATTAGTATTTTTCAGCAGAGTCGGTATGTATCAAATTTTGAAATTTATTATTAAAGACGAAGGCATTAATTTGTTTCAATTTCGGAAAAGAGGGGGGGGGTGTAAAATTACAAAATAAATGGATTAGCTTTATACAGAAATACATGCACATGTACGGTAATTTTTTTTACTTTCAATCTATATGACTTTTATTATTGAAGTTTTTTAAAAAACGAAAATCGATTTCTTATAAGATGCATATCTACTACATTACTTTATTAATCCATGCATGTTTCAATCAGTGCAGGTATTCATTAATCTATATAATTTATGTTATTCTGTACTTTGACGTGCTACAATATTACACTATATGTTTTAACACAGTGGACAATGTTTATGTTTTAGCGCCTGCGCAATGCTACGTTGTCAAGGACTTAGTCCTGCGACTAAGCGTATCTTTTACGACTAGACTTAAGGCACTTGGTGAAACGCAAATTACGCCCGACTAAATTTTGGCGTAAGCCCCGGAAGTACGCCTAAGTTAAGGCTTAAATCTACGACTTTTGATGAAACGGGCCCCAGGTGACATTATACATATATCACATGGCTTCGAGGGTGACATACCAGAATATTTGCCCCGAGGTGACAGGAAAGCCCTGGAATGTTATGTTACCCTCTGCCTTCGGCATCAGGTGACATTATACATATATCACATGGCTTCGAGGGTGACATACCAGAATATTTGCCTCGAGGTGACAGGAAAGCCCTGGGGCCCGTTTCACTAAAAGGCGTAAGATACGACCAAACTTAAGTTAGGCCTCGGGGCGTACGCCAAAATTTAGTCCGGCGTAAGTTGCGTTTCACTAAGAGGCGTACGCCTGGCCGTAAATACTAGTATCGGACTAAGTTAAGGCCAGACTTACGTCCTTGACAACGAGCTTATGCACATGCGCATACATATCATAAAGAGAGAGAGAGAGAGGGGGGGGGAGAGAGAGAGAGAATTTGTTTGATATTTATTGAAAAGATATATGGAAAAGATCACATTTTCTTCTTTGTTATTTATTGCAATATTTGTTTTGAGGTCTATAATAAAAACTTAAAAGCGTTGAAACATATTTAGATTAAAAATATATCGTAGATTGAATTATGTTGAAAGGAATACATTCGCAACTGTGTTTTGTAGTGAAATAAAGAATTTAAGAAATCTCTCTCTCTCTCTCTCTTTCTCTCTCTGATCTGTCATGTTGATTTCCATAGCGTTTTCTTAAATAATGTGAATTTCGTAACAAACAACATGTAAATATCGATATTGTTGTCGTCTGCAATATTCGCTATTGACTCTGCACAATCAAAATGTCTTCGGAGAGTAAAAAACGTAAGCCAAACTGGACTGATGATGAAATGAAAATTCTAACATCTTGTGTAATTGAAAACAAAGATGTATTATTTTCAAAACTGTCGGCATCAGTGACAAACGAGAAAAAGAAAGCTGTATGGGAAGACATCACAAAGCAGTAAGCATTTAGGTTTTTAAAATAACGATCAACAAAAATATAATAACATCTCCGATTTGATTACATACAAATGAATTTGTTCATGTCTACATGTTACATATAATGTATATTTATGGACAAAAACCTAACTAAATTGGCAAAAATAGGAATGTTATTTAGGTTTTGTGTATTCTTATATAATTTTTTTAATTTCTAACAAAAAATATACAAATAAAGGTAGACTGGGGATTCAAAAATATATTTAGTGTTAAAATTTTACTGCAGAATAAATTCTTCTTCTGCCTTGTGCAAGAGGGAAACAGAAGAAATAAAAAAGAAATGGAAAGATGCAAGATCCATTGTAAAGAAGAAAGAAGCCAGTAGAAAATACCAGACGAAGAGAACAGGCGGAGGGCCTCCCCCGGAATCTGTATTCAAGGCATGGGAACTTGACGTATGTGTTTTCTAATATTTACCCATAGGCGTAGTCACGGGGGGGGGGGGGGGGCAGCGAGGGCCCTAGCCCCCCCCCCCTTCTTTCAGATCGGGGGGGGGGGGGGGCAAGAGTATGTCTGTGCCCCCCACTTTTCAATGAAGAACAAAATTACAGCTATTTTGAAATAATATTAAACCTCATTTTATGGCATTTTTTATGTTCAACAAATGAGTAAGCATTTCTCTTGAAGCAATAGTTGTATAATATAGTAATGTAATATAGTAATTAAATCGTCAAGACCTGCCCCCCCCCCCCACTTTTTTCCCCAACATTACCTTTACTATAGGAAATGTTCATTGAGGGGAAAGTTGCCCCCCCCCCCCTCTTTTTGACCATAGTATATTGATGTCGAAGAATTGTGGGGGAAAAATTGGAATTGAAAGTAAGTAACGTGCCTTTGAAAAGATTGGCCACTACCACCCCCCCCCCCCCCCCCCACCACCACCACCACCCCACGAAATAGGATTTTCGAGTTTCTTTTTGGCTTGTCAAAGAATTTCTGGAGTTGAGCCCCCCCCCCCCACACACACTTTTAAGTTTGTGACTACGCCTCTGTTACCTAAAATTGATATAATTAAGTGTACTATGTATTAAAAAAAAGTTTCGATCGTTGCAAAGATGAGTTTCCGATACTGACATAATTATTTTTTCATTAATGTTTCGCACCGTTTATTATTTTAATTTGAAAAAGGCAACAACTATTTTTTTGTTTTTATTGCTAGATTTTGTCAATTATACCGGATGAACTTATCTCTGGGATTGACGGAGGGGTTGATACTGCCTTTGCCAGTAATTCTGAAACAAGTATGTATAAATACATGGTACATGCATGTACATTGTAAACATTATTCATACGTTCACTACATGTATTTTTATAACCTCATAATGTTGCCTTCCGACTTTTGCTTTATATACTATTTGATTTTCCATGCTTTGTATATTTAGTATTATTGTAGTATACAGTAGTTATAGTATAAAAAAATTGAAATATATGATATCTAAATACTAATATTTCTTTGTAACAGATAACTTAGCCTCATCATGCACTGCAGTCCCATCGGAAATTTCCGCTGGAATTTCATCCTTGATTGGTTTGTATAATTATACATATTATATAATATACTTATAAAATTTTAAATCATAAAAATTATTATAAAAGATTGTCAAAAATTTGATATGCATGTTCTTCACACGCGGAACACATAAGTGTCTATATTTGAAATATAATTTTTTTTTTTTCAAATTAAAAAAATGTATGTTTGTACATGTATATAGTAGAAGAAGTTGACGTTCCGGAAGAAGCTCCAAGTGTACATGTGTCCGGGCCTTCCACCGACAAATTCTTTACTTCAACTCTGTATGGATCTAAACGTAAAGGTAAAAAAGAAACAATGCCAACGCTATGAAAATGAATTAAAAATGTATTAAACATTCCTTCAGTTTTACTTTTCGCGTAATTTAACGTTTTTTAAGAAAAAAAACCAAGTGAACTGCATGTTTCAACATCATTCATGCACTTTTAACTATTCATATTACACATAATATGATTTTATTTGATTTTCTTCTGTTTCAATTGACATTGTTCTGATTGTAAAACTTTTCATTAAAAATCAAGACACGGCCAGCGACCCCGACGCTGAGTTTATGCTGAATTTGATAGGAGTGAAGGAGAGAAGAGCCATCGCAGAGGAGAGAAAAGCAGATGCCCTAGAGAGAATAGCGGCGGCATTTGAAAACAAATTTGGCATTTAATAAATTTGAACACAAAATGATAAAGTAGTCATGTTCTTTATTACAATGTAAGTGTGTGATTTAATGAATAGATGAATTGTTAAAATAAATTTGCAACTTGAATGCGCACATCCTGTGCTCTCCTTGGTGCGTTTGCGTTAAACACGGCATTGTCATTGATGTTCTGTACAACCCCACCCTCAAGTAAGGGGACTTTCTCTGAAACAGCTAAATTATGAAGCCGGATACAGCATTGAATAATTTGAGAACATCTACTTGGTGAAAAGGGGAGTACTCCTCCAGTTCGATGTAAACACCTGCAAAGATTTACTTGAATGTAAATACTGTGGAATCATTAGAATTCATGATGGGTCAATTTGCGTGATATTCGTTGGTAGCCCCCCCCCCCCAACCCCAAACCACCACGAATTTTCATCTTCATAGGAAATTTAGAAAGAGATATCTTTGTTACTGAATCTGAAAACCGACCCATACACGAAATTACATCTCCACAAACAACCAAAAAACCCACAATCCAAGAAAATTGGCCCACAGAATTTTAAATGAATTCACAATAAAATTGTAACAAGGTTTATTTATGGTTGCAATAGATATACATTTTTTTCTCAAATAAAAAAAATCTAAGGTCGCGTTTATCATAATGAACATTTAAAATAAAATATTTGCTTGCAAATATGACATATAAAGATATTTAACGAAAAATTGCGTTTAAATTACCTAAATCTGGATTTTAATACCCCAAACGATTTTTCTATGACAACACGAGTCTTTCCATGGGCATCGTTGTAATTCACTTCGTGGGGATAAGAATGGCGTTAAGAGCCATTCCTTGAGAGGGTAGCCAGAATCCCCAAGTAACCACCCACCCCCTTCAAGATGTTCCATAACACCTGACAATCCCGAGTTGCTCAAAACGAAAGAGTCGTGAGTTGCCCCAGGAAAACAGGTATTGATTTGAAGAAATCTGAAATAATATCAACCAATTTTTCATCCTTTATGCATATGTAAGCAAACAATTAGCATTCTTATATTTGTTATATTTGTTTGGTTATATTTGGTGCAATAAGGTTATTTTAAAATTGACAACATTTATATTTTCAAAGGTTGTTATTTCATAAAACCCTTTTGACGATATATTAAATATTTTGATTTTCTCCTGTTGAAGTATTGGCGTATACAAGGGTATTTCTATTACAAAAAAATGATGTGCTAGTATTTATGTTTTAATCAATACCGTTTATACCTCATATTGGAATCTGTTACGGCCTGAATATTTAAGGCATGAAAGTTTTTTCTGCATACAAAAGCAGGCTCCTGTGGTCCACTCATGCCCTTAATTGGTATTAGAGTACCATCGATTGCACCAACCCAATTTGGAAAGTTGGCAATGTCATAGAACTCAGATTTTACATGGCGTAATTCATTGGCAGTAACTGGAAACTTAATGTTGTCCACTGTTGTATTTATTGCACTGCACACTGTATAACAATATGATGAATCTGCGTTAAAATCCTTAATGATATATATAAAAAATATTTGAAAAGGAAATGTACAACTGATTAAATGTATTACAGGCATGTAGAAACATGAAGGATAGTGTATACAAACATGTACATATTATTATTATAATTATTATTATCAGTATACCCCATAGTACTTGCAATTGTCACTTTTCTGAAACTGCTATAAAACCTAATTTCGTGAAATTTTGCAGTTATTGAGAACACATTGTGTAGGCGCATATTACAAAGAAATTCCGCTTCCATTTTTTTCTGGGAATTTCGGTACTTTTTATTATATTAATTTTATCTGTACAAAATAAAGACTCAATAATTGCACGCAGTTTTAATAAATGTAACGATTACTTTGGAATTATGCCTCATTTTGAATTACTTGTGTGTATTTAATGTGTAACATGCCATTTATTTTGCATGACATTGTCAAATATTAAGAGGGGAGGGGCGTGGGATGTGTTAACTTGCTCACTTTTTCTTTTATTATCATTTGTGAATGTGTTAAAACATTCAAGGGGTAAAATCTCCACATCAACGTTAAATAATTTTTAATAAAAATAGAAAATATCATTTTAAATTTAAAATAATAAAGTATAACAACCTGTATGTACTACTCGGGATACGGATGATCTGGAAACGCCATGAAGGTCGCCTACTTCCGAAAAGAAGTCCACCTTTGACAGATATCTTAAAGTGATAATTACCTGTAAGATGTTTATGTGTATCTTTATATATACATGTATAAATAAGTATGCAAATGTAGTTTAATTATATTAATAGGTATATTGTAAAACCCATTATATTTGTCAAATCATGTGATTCCATGCGTAAGTATTTGTTTATTTATGTGTGGATATTTAAGAAGTATACAATGCTACAGTAAGTATTCACATATACATGTACCTGAATGTGGGTGGGAATGGCATGACTTTTGTATGTAGGTCGCCTCACAATAGGGTCAACATCATTTATCAGTTTTCGAATGACTCTTCCCGGGAACCTATACCTACTTACGAGATCTATATCATCAAGATACTCGAGAGGGTTGGTTCGGTCCCGAAAAACGCGTTCTCGCCGAGGTGTTTCCCTTCTTCTTCTGTGAAGCAACCAGAAAGTCGCCATTATCCAATGTTTACGTCTATAGTTACGCCTTCCTTAGACCAGCCGTAGATTTTTGTCTTAACTTAAGGCGGGCGCAAAGTTACGCCCTTTAGTGAAACGGACCTTAGTCCAAATGTTAGACGTAAGTCCGGACTTACGCCGGGCGTAGAGTTAAGACAGGCGTACGCCTTTTAGTGAAACGGGCCCCTGGAGTGTTATGTCACCCGATGCCGAAGGCAGAGGGTGACATAACACCTCAGGGCTTTCCTGTCACCGAGGGGCAAATATTCTGGTATAGTCGCCCGAGAAGTCATGTGATGTATGTTATATGACATTTTTTTTAAAATAAAAAAAAATGAAATCATTTAAAATCGTTGAAATTTTCACAAATAATCCAGAAATGCTTTCTTGACGGGTCGAGGCTATTTGGTACCGCCTGGAAGGTGGCGGGAGTTATCTTTCCATAAGTGTACACGAGTTATCTCGCATTACTGTGACGTATAATGAAACCATATTAATTCGTTCTTCGTTTGGTTCATGCTTATGTAAATATGTAAAACGGAAAGAAACTCAGTGTGTGTGAGGGAGGGTGTGGGTGTTGGGGGGGGGGGGGGGGGGGGGTCGACATAACAATTTTAATTATATTCAATAGAAAACAAAGGTGTTTTACAGACCATCCTCCAAAAAAAATAATTAAAAAAATTAAAAAGAAATTGACGTTAAGTACTATAAATAATTTATATTTATAAGTACATATTTGCCCTGCTTAGAGATCACATCCTGAATAAATTGGGCGAGGCGCGCGATTACCAGACTTACAGATACCACCCCCCCCCCTCCACCCCCCCCCCCCCCCCACTCACACACACAGATAAACCCAGTCAATGCAAGACGAGGAATTTAATGAACGGAATGCGTCTTTTATATGTCGATTTAAAATTTTTTGCATACATTGGTTTGAAGTAGGCATAAATGGCATAATTAAACAAAAACGTTCACAGCAATACTTTAACGGCATATGATATATATTTCAATTAATCATTTATAATTAGATTTTTTTTCAAACATAAACTTTTTATTCGAACTGTTTTAACAATTTTCAGTATTTAATTCCTATAAGCACTTTAAATCATTTTATTTTCTATTTGGCATTTTTAAAAAGTATCATTATCGCACACAAAATATTTTCGAGGAAAATGTCAATTTATTCCACGTCTCGAGATCAATACAATGAGCCAGAACAGTTTGAAATTGTTTTATTTAAAGCTATGTGTAAATGCAGCGAAAAAATTACGGAACATAGAGCGAAAGATATTGATTTAATTCGTGTGTCATATCAAAGTTTTTCGCGAAGTAGCTGGATGAATGATAGATGTACATGTATATTGAAATGTTTCTTCCGACTATTGTCAAATATAGGGCGTCATGAAAATGTGTCGATAAATGAGAACATTTCTCTAAGGCATGGCTTGGCAAAGAACTTTTCTTGCATGCAACTGAAATAAAAAGAAAAAGACCTCAAGAATAAAAAAAGAAAGCATACGTATGAATGTGATCCTAAACATGATATAGGCCTCGGAAGCAAATTGAAAGGGGGCTAATTGAAAGGGGGGATAGGCTGAACCAACAAAAAAGGTAAACTCCAATTTTCAATGCATGCCTATATTTAGTATATATTTGCAAAAAAGTGGGGGGAGGGGGGCTAAGCCTCCCCTCAACCCCCTGGTTCCGACGCCTATGCAAGAAGAAAACAGACAGAAACGGATAAACAGGTGTGACATACAATAATGAATCATCCTAATTATGTTCCCCAAACGGAGTTTGGGAACATATTGTTTTTACTCTGTTTCTTATTATGTTCCCCAAACGGAGTTGGGGAACATATTGTTTTTACTCTGTTTCTTCTTATTATTATTATTATTATTAGGGTCTTCCGTCTCCAACGGAAGACCCTTCTATTATTCTATTGTTTCTTTTTCACTTTTATTATTATTATTATTATTTTTTTCTTTACACATTTTTGTGCAGACGATTTCTCAGAGATGCTTGAGTGGATTGCCTTGAAATTTTCAGGAATGATGTATCATGAACTAAACCTGATACTTTTTTTTTATTTTTCGAAAAATCACTTCCGGTCGGAAGTTATCGCCCTTTAATCGAATTTTTAGTGACCATTTTGTCCGGACAAAAACTCAAAAACGACAAAAGCTAGAATGCTGGCCTTTTCAGGACTGATAGACAACATATTATAGTTTTGCACCTATACTTTCAAATATTCCGGAAGTGCTTAGTATGGAAGCTCGGTAGGGGTCAAAAATTAGGACA